CCGCTGCTGGCGGGAGGCGTTTTGCGCTTTACGGATAGAGGATTCGCGTTGATCTTTCACGTTGTCGTCTCAAGTTGCGTTGCGGCACGTCTCTGTTCATGCAGCTAACGTTCTTTTGGGGTGAAAGGAGAGAAGACTAAGAGAGGCTGAGAGGGGCGTCTGGTGTGTGCTTGTGTGTCATGGTTCGTGTAATGTGTAGCGTAGGTACCCTTTTGCTGGACTGTACTCGGCCTTTATCCGTAAGAGGAACAGTTCAAGACCGTAGAGTCGGCCCTCAATTATTGTGTGTTTTGCTATGTACCTATGATGGGCTTCATGCGCGTGGTTGCGTGCAAGTGAGAGACTGCACATGCGAGGCGGCGGATCGCGGGATGGGTCCCTGGCACAGGGGAAGGGTTGTAGAGCCTGGATTGCGTAAGGTGCTGATATTGTTGCAGGAAAAGCTCGACAACGTCCGAGAGGGGTGGTTACCAAAAGCCTCCTAAGCCTCCCAGTCGGAGTAGCGGTGACGCACGAGTGGACATATGTGGGATGAGATGGGCAGAGTTGAGAATCGGTATGATGAGATTGAGGGGAAATGGATGATGCGAGAAAAGCGAGTGATTGAAGATGAGATGAGAACTGTAGTCGCTGATAGAGTGTGTATTGAATGCATGTTTGTGTGTGTGTTTGTGTGTGTGTGTGTGTGTGTGTGTGACTGAGAGAGCATTCAAAGGCCTGACGGAAAAGCTGCGAGACGAGGATGGCCCGGCGGCGTGGTGTTGATGTCTCTCCACCTTTGATGCGCTGTTCGACGGCTCGTGGAGATGAAATGAGGGCTAGCTCATTCACACTATTGAAGAGACGACTTGGGAGCTTGATGCGGCCGGAGAGCAGCCCGAGAGTTCAAGTCGCGGCGACTAACACAGTAGGACGGCGGCGATGCTTCTCTAGCTTCACTCTGCTGCGTGAATTGACGGGCGGGAACGGGATGGCGGGCCTTGAATGTCATCAAGTCACATCAGTGAGCATACCGTACCCTTTCTCTACCTGAGAACGAGGCCACTCCGGCCGGCATGAGCTTCGGCTCTTTTTCTTTGAGTACGATTGTTACTGAACAATGAAAGAGCTGAGAGCTGAAAAAGCTGGGGCGTCAGTCCTCGGTTGGCGCGACTATGAATGTTTTGTTTGTATTAATTAAAACCAGCGAACCGTCTCGCTTCGTTTCTTCTGACGTTTCGGTCCACCCGCTAGCTCGTTCACTCCTGACAGACTGACAGTGACGAGCACGATGTTTTGACTCTCGGTACCTTGCGTACAGCGTCTCGACTCTCTCTGGGCTTGAGTCGGTTGGTTGAGCGCGCATTCACGGCTAAGAACGATTGCAAAAAGAGCGTCAAGGCGAGACGCTGTGGGTTGGCGGTGCAGGGCGGCAAGGTTCCTCCCTCCCCTGTCAAGAAAGTCAAGAGTTCCCACGGCGGCCCCTCACTGGGATTCTTCCCGCACAACCGCCGATGTCGCTAGAGCGCTGGGCAAGGTCCAGGCATGGAGTTTGGCGGAGCAAGTGGTGTCACTGGTGTGTGTGCGGAGTGGAAGAATGAGTCGAACGTTGTGTGTGTGTCACTGTGTTGCGCTTTCACCCCTCCTTTTTGGGTTGGTTCTGCTTTCCTAGGGATTTTCGTGAAGGAGGGGCAGAATATTGCTAAATCTCCTGCGAAGGAGGGCTTGATTAGGGCTGATCTCTTGGTCAAATGTTGTAATGATAAATGCTTAATGAGAGTGAGTGAGTTCGATGCCAGTGAGCATGAACGAATGAACTATGAGGGATTGTCTTTTATCCACCCCCATCATCATGCGTCTCTCCGTAAAAGGCAATATGAGCACCTCTTACTTTGGTATTATGTAGCCTTCACGAGACGACGAGGTGGTATCGCGAGGATCACGTATCACAAGCCAAAACAACATGGCCATTGCTCAGAACCATACAGAGGAGGAACATTGGATGTCAAGGAAATAGTCACATGAGTGAATGCGCGTAGCAGCTGCAGAGGCAAAGCTGGTGTGAGACTACGGTAGCTAGCACAAGTGTCATTCATTCCCAGCTTGATCTCGACACTGGAGCGCGTCTCTTGACGGACGAGGGGACCATCACCACGTTACCAAAGCCTCACATTATTGGACGGGAGTGCCATTTCCGTTGCAGGATTCAGCTGCCTTGTCATTCGCGGCGCAGTTGATGGCTCTGCTCTGTGGTTGAGAGTGAGACAGGCAGTCCCTGATCTCCTTTTCACATGTTAAACTCATCCTCCATTCACACACGCATTCACTCACACCCTCACACATCACTCACACGCATCTTTGGCTTCTGCTACCACACCACTCCAGGAGTCAATTGACCCTTGGATTGGACGCCGTCGCATCGTCCCTGATTCACACCAGCCCAATCATCGCCTACCGCGTCAACCTGTATGCCGCCTGCTGCGACCCGACGTGCCGACCCAGGACGAGGTCACCCAGCGGTCATCGTACATACCCGACCCCATGGGCAGCGATTCGCTTCTCGCGTACATGAATCCATCCATCCATCCATCCCATCTCATCATCGATAGATGGATGCATGGGTAGATTGCCGTCTATCTCGCGCGCCTGAGATACGACAGGCACTCATCCTCATCTGTCTGGGACCAAATACTTACAAGAGAAACCTCACACGAGGGCGAAGCTTTCAGGCAAGCCTCAATAATGCGATGGGAGGATTGCATGAGTCCTCCGTGAACCCACGCAGCTTTGCTCAGCCACCGCACGTTGAAGCTATATCCATGCCGACCAACCTTATTAACAATCTATCATCCAACTGCACTGTTTCCAAACGGTCTGGTCAGCACCAATCATCACACGGGGAAATCCAAACCTACAATCTGAATCAGGTCGTTGGATTCCGTTCTTCGTCCGACCCTCCAACTCCGTACGGGTTCGCCAGCGCGGGACCACAGCCACCTACGATCGACCACACACACCCATCCAGGCTTCAGTCACTTTCCTTCACGAAGCCACCAGTCCCAGAACTGGCAATGATCCACGAGCCCACGAGGTCACGCTCACTGCGACTGGGGCTGGACTGGCCAGACTGGGCTTGAACGGCCTTACGCGAACCAGGCCGGGCCAGCCAGACTTCACAGCCGCCTGGCCCTGCCGTCTTGAGACATGCGATCTATTTCCGACTGGCTGTCGCTGATTCCTACTGCTGCTGCCACTAACTACTGTGCTGCTGCTCCTGTGTGCTCTGGCGATTCAAAGTATTACCAACAGCATGTGGCTGCCAAGGCTGCGTGTCACCAGCGCACCGCAAAGACATTGACGACGCCATAATCACAGGCTGCCGATATGCCTCCCGTTCTGGAGTTGCTTTTTCCACATTCCAGTGGAACTGGCCCTACTGCTCCAGTAGAGTCTAGAGTCCGAAGTCTGCCCTACTTGACCTATCTGACCCCCATCCGACCCCCCGCCGATGAGATCAATCTTTCCCTTCCCCCCTCCCGATCCCACCCCTCCAAGGCTCTCAGCCGGGTCCGCATGCCTCTTTCAGCACGCCGTGGACCTGTACCGGGATGATCGCTGTCAGCACCCTATCCTCCCCGTGCGGGGCGGGAATGAGAAGGATAAAGTGCGGATAGATTATCAAATCGTGGGATTTTAGGCCCCTCCCTTTCCCGTCCACTGCCGAGATCTTCTCATACAGGCTATACTGTGAATAGGTATTGAAATGTTTCTTGTTGCTGACCACCAATGTTACCTTGCGGAAATGCTGCAGTGAGTCTGCACTGCTACGCCCGGCAGGCCACGAGATCACCCGTGCGTGCCGTGCTGCGAGATGGACGGAGGCTACGGATACAGCCTGCGAGGCGTGTGTCACGTACCTGTCACATCCCGAGGTTCTGGTGCTGTTGCCTGGGCATTTGATTTCTTTCCTCCATGATTTCGTCTGCTCTTCGGCCATCCACGTTTCTCTGCTGGACGCACGGAAAATGAAAGAGAATGTTCGCGCTGTGTCCCTCTGTTTTCGACGGTCGACCCTGAATAGCACAGTCGCACAGATTCACGGTCTGGCCGTCAGTCCCCGTCACACCGCAGCACAGAGTGAGTGAGAGGGAGCTGTGTTCGAACTTTGCGACGCAGAAAGGGACCTCGGCCATTGCTATTGTCTCAGCCGTGCCGTTGTATCCAGCCCCCGAGGCAGAAGCCTTCACCAAATCACCTGTCCGCGCCATCACTCACATACCATGATCGGTTGATCCCATACCTGATGGACAAACTGCCAAAGTGCCCCGAATAAGACCGATGAAGGGACAAAACATGACGCAAGCAAGTGATGAATTTCCTTGTCCGAAATAATCCATCTCTAGGTTCATGTCAGCGTGCCGTACGCCCGTTTACTAACAGCGGATGTCCCGGCAGGCCAAGACGATCGCAATTCCGTGTGAAGTGAACACACACTCTGAACGGCCGCGCCGTCGTCTGTAAGCTGGGAAAATTCGGATGACTTTTTTGCCATCGTTAATGCATCACTCACACGGTCCACGAACACGACCAAGCGGCGATCCAAGTAAAGCACCAAGGCACCAATGGCTAGGACTCAAAAGCCGCGAGCCTAAATCAGCTCAAATCCGAGTTTCCCTTCCCTGACGCCTCACTCGTGGTGCCCAATATTAGGCTCAGGCCGAGTTCATGCTTCCTGGGCCCATTACGTTTTCCTGCACATCCTCTGCAAACCTGTCCCAGTCCCGGTCTCATTGTCGGCCAACGTGAGCCTCTGATTTCTCGCGCCATGACATTGTTCATTTGGATAGCGCTCACTTCTCCCGCTCTAAAACGGTCATCTCAAGAAGGCGTGCCGCTGGTCCGAAAAGACCTCGGGACGGATCATAAGCTGCATACATAGTCATAAGTAGTTACTCAGTTGACGACACGGGTCATCACCATTATCACAAGCAAACATGAGCCATTCTTTCTATAGTCATCGGTCAGATGCCACCGCCCATCGCAACGCCCCAACTCCCCTTCCCACACGGCCCATCTCCCAGAACAACATGCTCCGGCGCCGCGTCCCCGGCAAACGGCACCTGCACCAGCACCGTCGGCTCGTCGCCGGGGAACTCGGTAAAGTGCCCCGCGTGCACGCTCGCGTTCTTCAAGTCCGCCGCGATGACGAGCGACGAGGATACCGTGCCCGGCTGGATGTACGCCGTCGTCTGCGCCGGACGTGCTGATGCGTCGTCGCCACTGCTGCCTCCTGGTGACGAGGGCGACGGCGTGGCCTGCGACGCGTTCCTTGGCGGTGCTGGCGATGTGATGCGGATTAGGCCGTTGAGGATGACTGTCAACCTGGGGGTGGCGGGGATCAAGTTAGTTGCGAGTTTCCTATAACGAGAAAAGTTGACGTCAGGCTATACAGTTCGAGTCTTCCTTGTTCCTTGTCCATCAAGTTTCGAAGAACAGCTCAACAGAAAAAAAACAAAAAGATGGAAATGAAGCTCGGTCGTCTCATGAACAAGGAACTTCCTCCCATACGCGTAAGGTAGCTAGCTACACACACACAAACACACACAGAGAGAGAGAGAGAGAGAGAGAGATGCATGACATGAAAGAAGAAGGCTCACTGCACAGCCGGCGCCCAGGCCTCTCCCACTGTCGTCCTGGGCTGGATGATGGACCACTCTGCCCGCGTCAGGTCGCCGCCGACGGCATAGTTGAGAGCCGCGCGGGCTTCGACGGGGACGGAGGTAAGTTGCCAGCATTCGATGACGGAGTAGCCGTTGCGGGTGGAGAGCGCCGTGATGTTGAGCGGGGTGAAGGCTTTGACCGCCGTTGTGAGGGCTGCACCCAGGGCCGCGAGTCTAGGGATATGCATGGCTTATAACGATCTATCGGTGTCTATCGTTTATCAGAAGTGAAGACGTAATGTGAGAGGGAGAAAACCAAGGAGTAGATGGGAATTGAAAATGGCCTTTGAATATTTCGAGGTTCGTGATGTGGCTTTCGGATGTCCGAACAGACTTGCATGCGCCTTGTCGCTATTTGTGGCGCCCAATGGCTGGGAATCCGTTCCAAGACCTTTCTGCGAGAGAGGTTCATTATGACCGGCACCGCTTATGGGAAGAATGTGTCTTACTTCGACGGCCGGCCTTGAGAACTTACGAGTCTCTGAGAGCTACCGACCAGTCGCACCGTCCCTAAAGATCTTCTTGGGGTAAAGCTTGCAATGCTGAACTCTTTTCTTCTCGGGGCATTTCATTGAAATGTTTGTGTAAACTCAAATAATGCCTCATTATAAAATCTTCAATCGATGTATAGATCCCAAACATCATGTTGATAGCTCGGCGCAGATTTGAACGGAACATATAAAATGCAATTTCTCTTATGGTCATGATATCCAGGAAAAAAGCAAAACATCTCAAAAGCTTTATGACAATATGCCAAACGCCAACAATGAGTCCACATATGGTATATCACCCCCTCCCGCATCACCACTGCGTCTCCATCCACCTCACCATCCTCTCAACAAGCCCGCTCCCAACGACATCCCACCCGTCCCCGACAGCAGCGCTCCTCTGGCCCGTCCGCTCCGTCTCGAACACGAGACCCTGACGACCGGGCCTGTCGTTGTCGTACTTATCCTCAAAGAAGCCCAGCAGCTTGTACGTCGGGTTCCGCTCCGGGTCCGGGTCGGACTCGCGGAGGCGGCGCACCCACTCGCGCTGCGAGACGATCTGGAACTCGAGTCCCGCGTCGCGTAGGGCGCGCAGGAAGTCGAAGGTCCAGTGGAACAGGCGCGGGTTCTGGACCTGGTAGACGAGGTCTAGGTCCGCGTCGTCGGGGGAGGAGGGTGGTGCACCGCAGGATGTACAGCGTGGGCCAGTGAGGCGCGCGAGCTCGAGGACGGCGAGGGCCATTTTGTCTGCTGGCATCCATGAGGGGGTCTGCAGGGTATTCTCGGTTAGCACTTGGTTCATTTCGCATGATCTCTCGTCATCTAGGAAGGGGGAAACTCACCTCTTCAAGGGCAGGCAATGCCTTAATCACCTTCGCGCTGCGAATCATCAACGGGATAGCCTCTGTCTGATTCCACACGCCACCCTCAGAATCGCCCACAATCTGACCCAATCTTAGGACCCTCGCCGTCATACCCGTCTTGGTCGCCGCAGCTTTGACAATGTGCTCCGTGACGACCTTGGACCGCGCATAGCCCATGTTCTGCGCATGCTCCAAATTCTCAACGTACGTCTCCTTCACCCTCGCGGGAATAGGCGTGCCGGCAGCCGCCGAGATGGACGAGCAGAAGAACAACCTTGCGGGCGCGACCGTCTCGGTGGCCAGGCAAAAGTTGAGCAGGTTATGCACGCCGCGAATGTGCTGCGCCTCGAAGCTCGCGACGCCGAGGTTGAAGTTGACGGCCCAGGCCGAGTGGATCACCGTCGTCATGGACCGGCGGAGCTCGGCGGCGGCGTCGGCGGGAAGGCCTAGGTCCGGGAGACCGAGGTTCGTCGGGAGGTAGCGCACTTTCGCCTTGTCTGCTTCGGAGAGGCTGAGGCCCTTGGGGGCCAGGGAGGCGAGGACGCGGGACTCGGCTTCTTCGGGGGAGGCGGCGCGCGCGAGACAGTAGACTGCTTTCACATAGGGTTGGCGCACGACTTGGGCGAGGAGGTGTGCGCCGAGGGAGCCCGTTGCGCCTGTGAGGACGACGGTCTCGCCTTCGGGTGTGATGGTGCCCGGCGTGCGCTCGGAAAAGTCAGAGTACTTTGCAATGAGCTTCTTCATCACCTCGATCTCGTCCTCTGCGTCGACGGACTCGCCCGTGCGGAGTGCGTAGACGTGCTTCGAAAGAGAGAGGACGTTGGGGTACTCAAAGACGACGTTCTGGCCTAAACTCTTGCCGCCGAGGTCGACGCCGCGCTGGATGTGGCCGCGCGCGGTGCTGGCTTGGAGACTGTCGACACCGGCCTCAAAGAAGTCGGTGTCCTTTTCGACCTTAGAGAAGCCTAGCGTCGAGCGGAAGAGGTTGAGGAGGTAGTCTTGGAGCTGCGGTAGGTCGAGGGTCAGGAGCTCGCCGCCGGCTACGTCGTCTTTGGGCGCCTCAAAGCGTCTGTAGACATCCTCGATGAGGTCTGCGAATTGCTTGTAGAAGGCGGCGCGGATGACGGTGCCCTTGTCGGTGCGAGGATACTCTGTGCCAATGTCTACCACTTCAATCATCTCTGGAGAGATGCGACCAAAGGCTTCGGCTCTGGCGTTGGCTTCTTCGATGACGGGGCTTAGGGCCTTGAGGATATCGGCCTTTGAGAGATCTTTCGCGTTCTCGCTAGGGATGATGATGAGGCCGGGGATGGACTTGTCGACGCCAAAGACGACGACCTCCTGGACTAGTTCATGCTCACGAATGTGGTTCTCGTAGGGTATGGGTAGGACCTTTTCGCCGTTCACCAGGGTTACGCGGTCATCGAGACGGCCGAGGTACCTCCAGGCATCTGGGATCGTGGGGTGAGGAACAAAAGTGTCGCGGGTGCGGTAAGAGTTGGGAGCCGGGTCGTCCGAGTTGGACATGACTTTTGAGGGAAGACCGTCGAGAACGACGCACTCGTGGACGTCGCCTGCGATGGGAATCATACGCAGCCACGGCTTGGCAGAAGCCAAGGGCCGCATATAGTTCCAGTATTTGTCCCCGGGCTCGCGGAACGAGGTCATGAGCTGGCCCATCTCGGTGCTGTGTAAAAGTCAGTTATGGGTAATCATGCGGGCTGGGAATATGGGCAACTTACGCTCCATAGTGCCCGACGAGGTATACACCCGCCTCAACGAGTCGATCACCCAAGTCATCGGGGCAACTGCTGCCACCGTACAACACAAGCTTGAGTCTATGCAGCGCCTCGATACCTCCATCAGTCTCGGCGAGAAGTTTCAGGGCATAGGGCACGCAGTGCAGGCTGCCGGGCTCCGTGGCGTTCATAGCCTTGACCAGCGTGGTTCCCGAAAGGGGCAAGTTGGCATTATAGATGGCAATCCTGTGACCGGCAATAATGGCACGGAACAGTGTCGAGATTCCGTGGTTGTGGAAAAGCGGCAGGGTCAGAAAAGCGCGGTAGGGGATGCCGCTAGAGTAGTTCGAAATGCACGCCGCGTGCGTCTGGAAGATGGGCTTGGGCAAACCGGTCGAGCCGGACGAGTGCACGATGAAGGAGATGCGCTTGCCGGCGTCCGGGTGCGTGAAGACGGGGAAGCGGTCGCCTGAGGGAGTCGGCAGGTCGTAGTCGGCCTTGTCGAGAATACTGAACGTGGTGATGGAAGACTCGGCGTTGATCTGGGCGGCCATGTCGCTGTACCGCTCCGAGATGACGATTCTGCTGCAGTTTGTCTTCTTGAGGAGGTTGGCGTAGGCCTCTGGGGAGAGACGTGTTGAGAGGTAGAGCACTGCGAAGCCCATCCTTGAGAGGGCGAACATGGAGACGACATAGTTGATGTCTGAGTTTGCTAGGAGGGCAACAACCTCTGCTTGGTTTGATGAGGGGTTCTGGTGGTTGTTAGTCTGAGTGTTCCTTTACATCAATACGGAGGCTGCTCAGTGAGAGAACACCTCGCAGTGAGTCTAGATATATACCTCTGGGAGAAGGCCGGCCTGGGCATACTTGCGCGCAGCCTCATCGGCGAAGCGATCGAGGTCCTTGGCTGTGTAGTTGACATAGTCGTCTCTGCCACGCGCCGTAGCGGGGTAGGCTAAGACATCGACATCTGGTGCTTCCTCCACGCGCTTCAGTAGCAAGTCGGTAACGGTCTTGAGCTCAATAGGCTTGACAGTCTCCACGATCTCGACAGTGGGCTTCTCTGACGTAAGAATTGACCGCGGAATCACCCCTTCCGTGTGGATAGCCATGTTGAAGAGGACGCCCCTATTTGGGCGGTGGTGATGGATGGGGATAAGCAACAAGTAAGGTGATCAAAGATGTGTGGAAAAAAGGAACGAAGGAAGCTTGACTTTGAGCGAGTACACCGCTTGATAAGATTATTCACATCTGTCAAGACAAGTACTTGATTAATTCATCCGCCAGTGAGCAGTGATATAAGGTCTTCTTTTAGAAAAGGTCTGGAAAGCCTATTATCTTAATCATCCATCGATTCAAACTAGTCCCGTCCAGATCACACCCGCAACCATATCCATGTACGAACAGGCCGTGTTTCTCTTCTCTAGCAGTTCCGTCCGTCCACTGGGCACGATCGCCTACCGTACCCTCCATTCCAGCCCTCTTTTTCCTATTACTGTGTTACCGTATCACCACTATACCACACTGCCGTACCTTTCCCACCCCTCACAGTGGCGAGGCATGCACCACGCAGCCAGCCGTCTGTCCCTTCTCCAGTGGCCCAGCGGCCCAGCCAGCGCGGCGGCAAGGTCACAAGTTGGGCGTGCCGAGACAACCGGGACGGAAAAGCCACTTACACAGGGTGAGGGGACACGGAAAAGCAACAACGGCAAACAGGCCGGGATGCACGGACCACTTCTCCGGTGAGAGGCTGCCGGCCGGTGGGATGTCCGTCGTTTCCATGGTTCCATTGTCTGCTTCGTGACGGGATTGTAGTATATCCGACTGACGGGAACTACACGGGCTTTGAGCTCTTGGAGGGATTCGGAGGAGGACTGCCAAGGGGAGGAACACGCGGGAGAGACGCGGGGTGTCGGACGATTCTGGGTGAGGGTGTTTGCTATGGCGGGGTAATTAACGATGTTTATTATCAGTGATGTCCATGAGACCACGGTAGGTCTTAGACGTTTGGAAAAAGATTGAAACGTTTTCATGTTGATATTTCAAAAAGATCATTCACGCTTAGCCTTGTCAATATGTCGAAACACTTCTACGATGAAGCCGAAGACCTCGTTCTCGATGCCCTCGAGAGCTTGGTGTTGCAAAGTTCTGGCCTGACCTTGGACAAGTCAAAGAAGAGTGAGTGAGGCATTATCCCCGGTCGTGTTACGACTAGCATCGAGAAAGAGAGCAGAACCAAAGTCTAACCTGACACAAACAGCACTCTGGCTCACAAAAAATGACCCTAAACACGTCTCCCTCCTCTCAGGAGGCGGCGCAGGCCACGAGCCCGCCCACGCAGGCTTCGTCGGCGACGGCATGCTCACGGCCGCCGTCTCGGGCTCCATCTTTGCCTCCCCCAGCGTCGCGCAGATCCTCTCGGGCATCAGCCGCGTAGCCAGCCCCGCCGGCATTCTCCTCATTATCAAGAACTACACCGGCGACGTCTTCCACTTCCACCTCGCGGCTGAGAAGGCCAAAGCCCAGCTCGGCGTGCCCGTCGAGGTTCTCATTGTGGGCGACGACGTCTCCGTCGGCCGCAAGAAGAGCGGCAAGGTCGGGCGGCGCGGGTTGGCTGGCACCGTGCTCGTGCATAAGATCTTGGGGGCATACAAGGAGACGGGCGCTTCGCTGGCGGATGTGGTCAAGTTGGGCAAGACGGTGACGGAGGGCTTGGTGACTGTTGGCGCGTCGTTGGAGCATGTTCATATTCCTGGTCGGGAGGCTGCTGCGGCGCCGGCTGAGGACCAGGTTGAGTTGGGCATGGGTATTCATAATGAGCCTGGGTGTCAGGTGTTGAAGCCAAGGCCGCAGCTTTCCCAGCTCATTGATGCCATGCTTACACAGCTTCTCGATACCAACGATTCGGACAGGGCATACGTCGATTTCTCTGACGCTAAGGACGTCGTTCTTTTGGTGAACAACCTGGGTGGTGTCTCGCCACTTGAATTCGGTGGTATCACGGCAAAGGTCACGAATGCTCTGAGTAAGTTAAAGCCGTCGAAGATTAAGGTGATTGAACAAGGTTGGAACGCCAGACTAACAACACGTAGGTGGCCGTGGAATCAAGCTCGCCCGCGTCATCTCCGGCACTTACATGACAAGTCTTAACGGACCCGGCTTCAGCATCACTCTGCTCAAGGCCAACCCCGAAATTCTGAAGCATATTGACGCCAGCACAAATGCCATCGGCTGGGCCTACTCGCCACGCGATGAGACCAGCGGAGACGTGAAGCAGCGTCTTGCTGAGAGCAGCGACTCAGGACACGATTCTCAGGATGCCACCAAGAGCGGCGTGCAACGTAAGTCTCAAACCCCTTGAGATCGCACTTGAAGTGCCTAGTTTGCTGACTAGAGCCGCTACGTCTATCCAGTCAACGTAGAAACTTTCAAAAAGGTCGTTTCCGAGGCCGCAAAGAGAATCAATACCGCCGAACCCCAAATCACAGCCCACGATACCCAAGTAGGCGACGGCGACTGCGGCGTGACCCTTGCCCGCGGCGCAAAAGCCGTCCAAAAGTACGCCGACTCGTCCTCCGTCAGCGACGACGCCGTCCGCACGGCCATCGACCTCACCAACGTCATCGAAGATAACATGGACGGCACCTCGGGCGCCATCTACAGCATCTTCTTCGCGGCGCTGGCCTCGGAGCTGCGCAAGGCCAGCGCGGGCGTGCTCGACCTGCAGGCGTGGACAAAGGTTGCCATCGGGGCCCTGGAAACGCTGCAGCAGGCTACGCCGGCTAGGCAAGGGGACCGGACGCTGATTGATGCGCTGGAGCCGTTTGTGAGGACGTTGGAGAGCTCGGGGAGCGTGGGCGATGCGGTTGAGGCTGCGAGGAAGGGGGTTGAGGCTACCAAGGGTATGGCGGCTTCTCTGGGTAGGGCGGTTTACGTTGAAGAGTCTGCTTGGGGCAAGGTGCCGGACCCGGGTGCTGAAGGCGTCTTGGCTATTCTCGAGGGCCTCCAAGCGGCTATTCAGTAGATTGTGCAGTTGCTTGTAGGTAGCAATATCTTGTATAAACGTACTTCATGAACATACAAGGCATAGTTCTGGGACTTTGACAGCATTTCATCAGGTTAAACTACAAAGTACTATGGTAGGGGGGGGGAAAAAGTATGAACTCCGTGCATTCCTGGACGCCGCAGGGATTACAAGATGCAAACAAAATAGCTGACACGTTGGCCCGGATCCAAATTTGAGCAAATTGGTAGCAATAGTCGTTAGAATCGTAGCGAGTCGTCATTGAGTAAAGCCTCTAGTCCCCCAAACCCAGAAGTGACCTAACCCAAATGTCAATACGCTGGCAAGGAGAGTGTGCCTCGGGGCATGGGATTGTTACATACCATGGAGTCAAATTGGCCCCAGCTCGTCATGTCAGCCAGAGAGCTGCTCGGGCTCGCATCAAACCCAACAAACTCGTCTGCGTGTCCCACATCGGGGAAGTTGAGGTTGGCCAGGTGATGCTGCTCATGCTGCGGCTGGACATCCTCGTTCCCGGCAGCAATGAGAGCAGCGCGGGGAACCTGTCCGCCATTTTGCCCCGTCTGATGAGTGATGGCCGGGCTCTGGTGCCGCTCGGTCTGTCGAAGCGCCTCGGTCCTCAGCTCCTCGAGGACGAGGCAGTATCGCGCGGCCAGCGTTGACTCGTTGTCGGCGAGAGAGGCCAGTTGGGTCTGGCAGCGATATGCGGCGTTGAAGTAGGCCTGCCATGTCTCTGTCGGGGCTGTCCGTTGCTGGATGGTATATACATAGAGAACAACAACGGCCGAGAAGGCGAAGTAGGAAGTGAACTGTAGGTGACTTAGAGTTAGAAGGGGAGTTTTTATAAAGAGTGTTAATGAGGTCTTACCCAGAAAGCACGGAATAGCTGCCCTGCCTGTATAAGATCGTTGACGGTGTCGACAACGTGCATCGCAGCGTCGAGACAGGCGTTGACGCTTTCTTCTGTCTGGTCCTTGTGAGGTACACTCTTGCGACGGCTTTTGCCGTTTCGTTGTAATCGGGCAAAGTTGCTAAGGAGGAAGGGCCTGTGTGTGAGAATCATGGCATGCCAGTACGCCAAGTTCAACACGTTGCGTTGTCGTTGGAAGATGGGGATGAGCAATGCCGTGTTCACGCCGTCATCCAAGAACTGCGACATTTCGGCCCTCCAATGCTTCAGGTTTTGAGAGTATTTAGCCGCCAGAGCACATCTATTTGAGAACGACGATGGTCGTATAGAGTAGAGGTCACGTAAGATCATGCTCACTATCCGTGAGAGTCTTGACTGAAGTCAGTACCACGAACGACAGAGGGAATATAAGGCATCACTGACTTGACATGAGCCACCGGAGCCAGCATGAGAGACTGGCCCCGGCCCATACGGGGTGTGATGTGGTCTGCATGAAGATCCGCATCTTCTGAACAGGACGGAAGTTCCTGATCAATGTCCTCATCATGAAACGTTCGGGGACGTCCAAGTGCGGCACTGAGATAGTTGTCGAGACTGTAAGCGCACCAAAACGTGCGACGGCGACACTCCAGCTCGATGTAGTTGTATCCCCCTGCCGGGTCTGCATGCCTGTTGCGGTTCAGACCAATGGCGAGAGCAAGGTGTCCTGCGGTGCCAAATAAGCTCCAGCAATGGTTAATGCGAGACTGTGACAGCAGCCAGAAGCACTGGCATAGCCGGGCCTGGACGCTGGTCAGGCGTACGGCGCCTCTCTCTTTGGAAAGCTGGTGATCTGCAGCCAAGAAGTATCGAGCGCTGGTTCTCACGTGTTAGTCCTTGCAGAAACGGAAATTGACATACGACGGCGACAGCGTAAAACAACATGGGAGGGAAGACGTATCCCCCGCGGGGTATTCTTGACAAACTCACCTTGCGTCTGCGTTCTCACGCGAGTGTGTGGTGCCCATGTACTCCTGCGCCTGAGCAAACACCATAAATAGCAGGGCTCTCCGGGCCGGTGCGTCCTCCTGGCTCTTCATGGCACCCATGGTGTCGTAGAACTCCTCGAGCCAGCCTTCCACGGTAGGACGGTGTAGGAAGCGATGGGTTGGCACGGCGAACTCAAAGTATCTCTTCAAGAGCGTCGTGGCCTCTTCCTTGGACAGCAGGACGCAGAAGGCGCCGCTGGGATCAAAGTCTGGGAGCGGTGCATCGCCAAAGGTGAAGATGGAGGAGGCTTGTGAGAAGGAGACAGCTTGATGAAGGCGCTTCTGGACTCTCAACAGAAAAGAGACACCCGATGAGGGACCGACATAATGGCCTTGGAGATCCGTCTGAGTAGGTTCAGGTGATGCCCGGGAGGGAGGCTCAGCGGTTCCTGGGCCGACGCTGCCCACAACGGCCAGACTCGTGCCGTTCATAATGGTCTCGTCTTGATGGTCAGTATCACCGGGCTCAGAGACGTCCACGACGATGGAGGAGCCCATCAACGCATCTTCACCAGCAGCAGCAGCGTTGGGATGGTCCGACACGGAGACATCAAGACCATCGAGGTCCATTCGGGCGACATCCTCCCGAGTGGCCACGGGCGGCTGACGACCCCGTGCATAAGACGCATTGTAGGTGCAGTGGGACTCGGTGCGGATGCACAACTCGCAGGGCTGGATGCCTGTGCAGCGGATCTTGCGCTTCTTGCACCTGTCGCAGGCGCGGGTGACGCGGACGCGTTCCTTGTCGCGGTGCCGACGACGTCTCCCGCCCTCCGTCAGAGGGGTCGGATTCGACGGATGTGTGAGCGGCGGAGATGCCAGCTGCTGTTGCGAATTGTGGTTTCCATTTCCATTCCCATTGCCGTTCTCGTTGTGGACGTGAATGGTGGTGCTGCTGGTGCTGCCGTGACGGCCGTTCCCGGTTCCGTTGCCGCTTGACGATGCGTTTCCACTGCCGTTGCCGTGTTTGCTTCCATTGCCGTGGCTGTGATTACCAAGACTTCCTACTCCTCCTCTTCCATTATGGTGTGAGTGGGAATGGCGGCGAACGCCGGGGTGATGAATTCCATTCACCATGGCATTGCCGTTGCCGTTGCTACCGGTGCCGATGCCGACACCGGAGTCGCCTTGGTCGGTGTCCAGGTCCATTTGCCGTGTCCCTGGGAGGGAGGCTTACTCCGTAGTGCGGCAGCAATTTGGCGGCAGACTCCCCTGATCCTGCTGCTGGAGCTGGACACACGGAAACATGGTCGAGTGAATGGGAAGGGAAGGGGGAAGAGAGGGGGACCACAGGCTGGCGGACGTGGACAGACGGAAATGTCACCTCATTCTTAATCCTTTTGGGAATGGGGAAGACAATGCGGGGTACCCGGCCGGTCCCCGTCTTCCTAGTCTGCCTTCCGATTCCTTTGTGGCCCCCTAGGCCTGATCTCGCCTTGCTGGTCCGGTCTGGATTAAGATCCTTGTGGGTAATGGATGGTTCCTTGCGGGAGGTTCCTCTGGTACCCCCGAGTCGAATCATCTAGACTGGCATACTGCGTTGGATGGTTGGGGGAATTGTATTTGGAGCCCCCAACTTACATGGCATATGCTAGCAATGCTAAGGGGGTCTTGACTCTTGAGACGGGATGGGAATAACAAGAGATGACGAGTGACCAATTCGAATTAGAGGACTCTCTCTAAACGATGATGTGCTGACAAGTCGCCAAGCTTTAAAATTCACAGAGACGAAGAATTACGTTCCAGAGACGACAGACCACTATTTCGAAAATGTCAGGGATCTACAAACGCGCCAACCAGCCGCAAAGTCCGAGCAAAGCCAAGCGAACCAGCAACATCCCATCACTGGGGAAGGCTAGAAATGGAACATTGACACATCGATTACACCCCCGAACACTATGTACACCGAGGTGAAGAAGACTAGAACACCAAAGCTACTCTATTATTCTTACAAAACGTGGCCAAAACTCTAAGTAGCATGACCATCCCAAGGCTATGTGGCTCTGGGATCAGAAGATGGCAACGGCGTTGGGAGGGCTAGCAACACCACCCGGAACCTACACGTGGAAACAAATCATCAGTACGCTTTTTTTAAGGCGAACATACCCTCCAACATGAGTAATGAAGAAGGATGAATCAGAGGAGAACCAATATTCAAGACTTACCTTGAGCGGCACACTGCTCACGAAAAACGTCCATCTTCCCAGCTCCTGACACGTCGAACTCAGAGCCTCGAGATCAAACATCTCCCCAATGGGCAACCCCCAACCTCCCAGTAGCCATTGATGCAATAACCCACCTCCCTGCATCTCCTCCTCCCACGTCTCACCCTTCCACACGCCGCCGACAGCCGTATGCTGGCCCGCGATGGGCGCCCTCTCGAAACTCGGCGCGTCGCCCGCCACGGCCGCGAACCCCGTCTCCCATATCCAGCGGAGCACGTCCTTCGTGGGCTCGAGGCCGAGAAAGTCTGGGCTGGCGCGTGCCGCGACGGCCTTTTGCGCGGCGTCGTCTTTGGCGTTGTAGCCTGCCGTGAACCCGGAGCGGATGAAGAGGATGTCGCCCGGCCGGAAGGTAATGTTTTGCTCGGCGGCGATCTGTTGTAGGTGGGCGAGGGAGATGTCGCTGCTGGTGAAGGCGTCGAGGGGTAGGGAGTGGCGGGCGCAGAAGCTGGCGTAGTCGAGGAGGACGCCGCGGCCGACGATGCCGCCCTTTTCGACCCAAGCTGCGCTGTAAGTCAGTTACCGAGTGAGGATGATTGCACAGTTTTGAAGGTGAACTTGCCGTCTATACCAATGTTTTCTGGGTGATCCAGGTCATCTTGGGTCGTATTGTTGTAGTATCGCTTGGCTTTCTGGTAACCTTGGTCACTGCAGTTAGTGATATGGCTCACTTATTGGCAGTCTTGAGTTGAGTACCATAATGCCTAAAGCCGTCCCACTGGCTGCTACATTGCGTGTTAAAGTGCAAGATATCATCATTCACCGTCCTCTTCTCGCCGCTCGGATGAGATCGATTCACGAGTCTGGACTCAAACGGCGCCCGGTCAAAACTTGGCTGAGCGGGATTGTTCAATGACCAGTCCAGCGATACTCGTTGGCCGGTTCGAATTTCAGATGCTGCCGCAGCGGCCACGACTGCGGGGGTCAGAAGGTTCAGCGCCCCCAAGCGGTCATCTTTGCCGTACAAACCCCATGCATTCCCAGGCGGCCCGGCAGGGTCTAGGGGAAGGGATGAGAAGGTTGGTCTCGCGGGAGGCGCAGAAGATGACATGATGAGTACAGGATCAATGTCAGGGCGTTGTAGTTGATGCCGCGATGAGTCTTGATGAGCGCAATGAAAATTGAGTGAGGTGTGCTGAGGGTGAAGCTGCGCAAACCGAGTTGAGCAGTTTGTTATTAGCTGTCGGCGCCAAATGCACCGGCGTCGGCAGCGGCTCACTACGCCCGAATTAAAACCGCATCTTTGCGGATCATTATCCGTTGGTAGTGAGTCCACGATATTGCCCTTCAGCGCGCGATGCATTTCATTCTCAGTGCAAATGAGTTGACCAAGCTCTCGTACGAATGGCTTAAGACGTTTTATTCTCATCTCACAAAACTTGAAGAACTTTGACTTCCGCAATGACTACGTAGATTACACCGTAGACAGAGGCGATGCCACGACTTGGGGACTAACAGGAACCGCAGCTTCAGTGATTTGAATTGCTCCCAGACCGCACAATCGCAGCGCAAATCTTACGGAATCAGGTCTTTGACTCAACAGGTCTGACTCCTGATCAGTAAATGTACCGAAAGTTCAAGTTCTCACGATCCGTCAAATCCCCAAACGCCGTTGCATCAAGATCAACCTCAGCAACTTCCCCCTGCATTCTGTCCCGTCTATCATTCTCCCACTTGAGCAAAAAACGTAGGGCAATCACAACCACAACCTCGAGCAAGTGAGCAACAATCATACTCCAAATACCCAACTCGTACTTTGGCGCCTGGTCTGACTTGTAGAAGAAGGGGCCCGCAATATTACCGACGCAGTATCCTAGAAACAGGCACGCCGAGGTGACGACCTTTTTGGTGTGTCCGGCGATGTTGGCGGTTTGAAGTGAGAGGAGTAGCACGAAGGAGGCATTGATAGAACCAGTCAACTGGAGTTGAGGCTTGTCAGAGCGGTGCATATCGGGAAGTTTGCAGCTGCCAAAACTTACGTAGTAGCAGATCAGCCTGCCGACCTGTTGGTCATTAGGCACAAAGCGGAGACCAAAAGCCCCGGCTACGTTGGGTAATAAGAAGAGCACCAGCACGAAGCAGCGGTTGTTCGGCGGCAGCCTGTCGTTGATGAAGACGCATGCTAGAATGGTGATGAAGATGATGGCTCCGTATGGAATCTGAAGGACTGCCGTAATCACTTGACGCCGGCATGTTAGACGTTGAAATTAATTGAGCGGTCTTGTGGTTCGGACTTACACGTCGAAAACTTGAAGCCCTTGATGATCAAAGTCCCAAAATTAGACGTTCCCCCATTCACAATCGCCTGCAACAACGCAATCATGAAGAAAAAGTACAACTTATAGTCCGTAAACGCCTCGCGCACCTGATAGAGCTTCAGCGTCTTGTTTTCCACGCCGGTCTGATTCTCGCGAAGCCGCTCGACGACAATCTTCTTCTCACGGTTCGTAAGCTTGTTGCTTGTGATCGGATTATCCGGCAGAAAAATGGCAATGATAATGCCCCACACGCAGCACAGGGTGCCGACAATGATGAACTCGTATTTCCATGACGCCAGCGCGCCTTTGATGTTGCCGATGCCGTAGCCTAGGAGGCCGCCTAGGGCGATGCCGATGCCGTTGGCAGTGTACCACAGGCCGATTTTAATGGGTTGCTCCCGGCGGGTGTACCACATGCTGAAAATCGTCAGCGTCTTGACCTGAGATAGTAGGTGATGGGATATTGGGGAGTCTGGGGCTTACAGACCTGGTGATGATCATAAAGGCAGGGTCGGCACATGCTTCTGCTGCTCCGCTAATGGCCCGGAGTGCGGCTAAAGCTCCAAAGCTGGGTGCCGCAGCTTGGAGCATGAGAAACGTACCCCAGGCAAAGATGTTGAGACCGAGATACTTTGCAATGGGGAACTTTTGTAGCATAAAGTTGGTAGGCAGAGCCCATACCAGAAATCCAAAGTAAAAGATTGATGAAAGCCAGCTATACTCGGTGCCCTTGAGGTTGAGATCACTCTGGATACCGAAGATGGCAGCGTACGAAAGAGTTGTTTTGTCGATCTGCCCATGTAAGACACGGATCTTGGTAACCATAAACAAGCCTTTTGGGGGCGGTGCTTGGCAATGGGACTAGGTACTTTGACTTACATAGAAAAAGACGTAACAAACTGAGATGTATGGAAGAATCATCCAATCCACCTTGCGGACTAGTCGTCGCTCCTCCTCCGGATCGATGGGTTCGTGCGCATCGCCCACATTATCGAAGAGTGCCAAGGCAACATCTCCACCGGCCTTGGAAAGCTTGAATTTCTGGGGGTCACCTTCCTCCATGGTTTCGAACTGAGCCGCACTCGGCTTGAACTCGTCGATGCCGTGCCCTGTACTCTGAGGCCCGGAAGGCTGCAGATCTGCATGTTCGGAAGAAAGGTTGGTAGACATTGTGAGCTGGTCAAAGTATCAAATCAATACCAATGGTTCTAAATGAGAGATTGGTATCGTCAAGTCAAGACTTCAAGGAGGTCATCACATTTCCCTATATACACGCATAGGTCCACGCATCTTTTCAATAAGCTACATCCTATCTACACAGACCTGGTCCGGAAGCAGACAACCACTTACAACAGACTTCTTACATCTCGGATAGACGGCCTCAGAGCAAACGCGGGGAAACGTGGAGAGACGGCGTTAGGAAGGTGGATTATGGGAAACAGACCGGCCACTGGGTTCATCGGCATCAAGGTCCACTAGTCACAACGCTACCATGAGACAAACTCGGCCATGCGAAAACAAGCAGTGTGCTTTTCCGTGGCACCAAAATAGTGCCTGACGGCTATGTCAAACCCTTCAATGTTTGGTATCATGGCCAATCATGCAATTCATAACCTCCGGCTCAAACTCATCTAAGCTACTAGTGCCTTACAGGGAGTCCTCGATCTTTTGAATATCCGAAAACAAGAGCGAATCCAACGCCTTGAAAGTACCCTCATCCAAGCGTCCCTTGAGCGGCAACCGGCCGCCCTCGAGCGCGCCGAAGCCGGCCTTGCGGATGATTCCCTCACGGATACCAATGATGCCCGTCTTGCCGATAAAGTCCTCGGCGCGGCTGACGGCGTACTGCAGGCGCTGGACCTCCTCGAGGGTAGCCTGGTCGACGGGGCGCTTCTCCGCGAGGCTGAAGAGGCGTGAGACCGTCTTGGGGTAGAAGGCGGCGAGGCCGTCGATGACGCCCGCGGCGCCGAAGAGGACGATGGGCGCGAGCTGTTGGCCGAAGCCGCTGTAGACGCGGAATTTGGAGTGGTCGATGCGCGGGTCGGAGGAGACTTGGATGTGGAGGGAGACGTTTCCGTGGGACCTGAGTAGTTGGGGGATCGCGTTAGAAGGGTTCCTGAGGTAGAGACTGGGTGCATCTTTGGGAGTTGCTTACATTTTGCAACCGACGATCTTGGGGTGTTGGGCGAGGTCCTTGTACGTGTCGGGCTCGACGAGGACGTTATTTGTGACGCCGGGGTAGTTGTATCTAGTCTGCATTAGCACGAATGTCTCTCGCGCGTGCACATCGCAATCCGCAATGCATAATCTCAAACTCACACAAGAATGGGCAGAGGGCTCTTGTCAGCGACGACAGTGTACCACTCCTTGATGTTCTCCTGGTTCGCGGCGGTACCAAAGTATCCAGGAACAAGAACCAGACCCCATTGGGCGCCAGCCTTTGCGTAGTCGTCGAGCCACTCTAGAGTCTCGTCGATGCCGTTGGTCAAGACGCCGGCCATGATGGGGTAGTCGGGGAAACCGGCCTCCTCGAGGCCCTTCTTGACGCCGGCGACGAGGTCGTGACGCTCGGCCTTGTTCAAGTGGATAGCCTCGCCGGTTGAGCCGAGGAGGACCAGGCCGCGGATGCCATTCTTTGCGAGGTAGACGCTGTGCTTGACTTGCGTGTCGATGTCGACCTTGGGTTGGAGGGCGCCTGCAGAATCAGAGGCGGAGTGGAAGAAGGTTGGGACTGGAACGAAGACGCCCGTGGGTGGTACTCTGACGTCTGCCATTGTGATGTGTATGTGTGAGTTGGTGAGTGAGAAAGAGAGGTGAATTAGCAAGTGATTGTGAAAGACTGAGCTTCGCTTGAGAAAGACTTTGGGGATTGAGGTTGGCGATTCCGGGTATCACAATATTGCAATGTTCTGCTTTCAGTCGTGAGGATTTTGTCGGCCCCTCGTTAGAATTTACGTTCACGATGGAAAACGTGTCAGACCCGGTCTCGGTGCCCCTCGGCAATCCCGCGAGGGACTTGTTCGATGGCGTTCTCGGGGTGTGATGACGCGGGGGTGGAGACAAGTTGCGCCAAAGAAGACCACCGAGCGGGGAACATCCCGACACCATCCCGTCTGGACCGTCTCTAGCAACTTTAGTCTCAAGGGGTTTCCTACGAACGGGTCTCGGCTGTCGGACGTCGTCTTGCTAGACGGGAGCCATGCAGAGTTGAGTGGGGGGAGAAGAGACGGGAGGAAAAGGCCGGAAAAAGAGGTTTACATAAGGCCAATTCCGTGCTAACGGACCGTGATAGACACCCCTCATTGTGTGATGCGGAAATCTTGCAGGCTGGATGGGAGTGACGACCGCCTCAAACTGAGGATATAAGAGCTCTTGGGGAAATCGTAATTTATGTAGGGAGTGACATATGATAGACAAACATAATACACACGGATAACTGCACTTTTTCTGACTTTCGTCTATATAATTACATCCGATCACGGAAGCATCATCGCAGTTACCTACTTGCTGTACAACAATGGCGTTAGCTCAGTCTTTCAAGCTTCTCTCGGGACATGAGATCCCAGCAGTTGGCTTGGGTACCTGGGTAAGTATTTGAGAACGGCGAGCTGATAGAGAAAATCCGTCTCATCAATCATGTGCAATTATAGCAATCCAAGCCCAATGAGGTCAAGAACGCCGTTGAGCATGCCCTGAAGTCGGGGTACCGCCACATTGACGCGGCTGCCGTTTACGACAACGAGAAGGAAGTCGGCGAAGGTCTCAAAGCTTCCGGCGTCCCAAGGAAAGACATCTTCGTAAGTTTTATCGTCCTCCTGGTTACTGTATCGGGTAACAGATCGCTGACCCCTGTCTCTCCCTCCTAGGTCACCAGCAAGCTTTGGAACACCCACCACAAGGCGGAGGATGTAGAGACCGCACTAGATATCACCCTCAGCGACCTGCAGACTGACTACGTTGACTTGTACCTGGTAAGCATCTTTACCTTTTCTGTCTCTCCCCCCCCTCCCGATCTGCCATCCCTAACGTAAGAATTTCGTGCATTAGATTCACTGGCCCGTATCCTTCAACAAAAAGGACGATGCCACCCGCTTCCCCTTGCACCCCGTCACAGAAGCCGTTGACGTCATCGACATCCCGGTGATTGAGACGTGGAAGGCCATGGAGGGCCTCGTCAAGAAGGGCAAGATCCGTTCCATTGGCGTCTCTAACTTTACCCGCGAGAAGATTGAGGACCTCTGGGACAAGGCCGAGATCAAGCCGGCGGTGAACCAGATTGAGGCGCACCCGTACCTGCAGCAGCCTGACCTCCTGGCCTGGTCCAAGGAAAAGGTGAATCCAGTTGACCCAGACGGAGAAAATCTCCGATGTTGCATTCCCGTTGTAGGTTCGCTAATCTAGTTGGAAATGCAGGGTATTGTGGTCACGGCGTACAGCCCCCTCGCTAACAACATCTACAACCTGCCTCGGTGAGTGCCCAGCAGATGCCCACGTGTTCTCTTCCAAGAATTGCGTAAAGTACGTGAACTAATCCGCATCAGTGCCGTTGACGACCCCACCATCGCTGAGCTGGCCAAGTCTCTCGGTAAGGAGCCGGCGCAACTCATCATCAGCTGGTCTGTTCAGAGAGGCACAGTGGTGTTGCCCAAGTCCGTTACTCCATCGAGAATCGAGAAGAACTTTGAAGGTACGTGATCATAGAAGCTGGTGTTTGCATATTCAATATGACAGACTCTAAATTTTACTAGTGTTTGAGCTTCCCAAGGATATTTTTGAGAAGATCAACGCCTTGGACAGGAAGCACCGCTACAACTTCCCAGCCCGCCTCGGTCAAGACATCTTTGGCGAGTCGGACCCGGAGACGCTGAAGAAGGCAGTAGAGACCTGGGTGGCACAGCAGAAGAAGATTAGAGCGGGCCAAGCATAGACATGGAATAATAGACGCGTAGATTCCCATGAGGATGGGCTGGTATCCGTAGCGTTGTAATCTCAATTTGATGTTTCCGCAAGCCACCAATAAGACCAACGAGGAACTTTGTTGTCTCGGTGAACCTTTTCCGCCCTTCACCTGAACAATATCCTCACCGAACGGAAAAGAGTACACCGAAGACCCCTCACTACCCCTCCATCCCCTGGCAATGGACTCGGGTGAGGGTGTACCGAACCCCGCACACCTCATCCCACCCTTCTCCACCACTGCGTGTGGCCGGGTAATACCCATGTTCCCTTCTCCGACGGGGGAGGGATATGCAATTCGGAGGCGGATCGGGAGAGGAGAGGCGGCTGAGGAGGCGGCTGAGGAGGCGGGTCGGAGAGGTTCCGGACTTCATGCCGACTTTCCCGTCATTCAACTCCGTTAAGCTCCGCTTTTGTAGTGGTAATATCAGCTCACGATTGCCTCAAGTAAGCTGGTTGAGGTATCTGTCCACCAGAGTCAATCAAAGCTGTCAACCTTGCCTTCTGTTGTAAACGTTATTTTCTCAGAGACCTATTACGAAAGTTCACATACGTCATTGGCAGCAAGACTCCAGTCACCATGGGCAAAATCGCAAAGATGGAGTACTTCCGAGTACCACCCAGATGGTTATTCGTGAAGATCACTGATGAGGCGGGCAACGTCGGCTGGGGCGAAGCATCTCTCGAGGGCCACACCCAAGCCGTAGAAGGCTGTCTTGACGCCTGGTTTGAGAGGTATTCGGGCATGGAAGCTGAGTATGTCAACTTGCCCAACCATTGAGTTTCACATTGCTGACCTTACGAAGCGACATTGAGCACATTTGGCAAATGTCATGGCGGACAACCTTTTACCGCGGCGGTCCAGTCTTTATGAGCGCATTGGCAGGCATCGATATTGCTTTGTGGGATCTCAAGGGTGAGCAGTAACGATATAGCCTCATCTGTAATGCTATGACTAACAATCAACAGCGAGAAAGCTGGGACTGCCAATTTGGCAGCTCCTGGGAGGAAAGGTCAGAGACAAGCTCAAGGTCTACGCGTGGATCGGCGGTGACCGACCAAACGACGTGGAACAGCAGGCGTAAGTGAACACAAAAATCACCAATCACTCCCTCTGATTCGGCCTTTCTAACCACTAGTATCCCACAACAGACGAGCCCGCAAGGAGCAGGGATTCAAAGCCGTCAAGATGAACGGCACAGAAGACCTTGGCTGGCTCGACTCTCCCGACGCTCTCGACGCGGCCGTCGAACGCGTCAAGGCCGTAAAAGCCCTCGGCATGGACGCCGGCGTCGACTTCCACGGCCGCGTGCACAAGCCCATGGCCAAGCAACTCGCAAAGGCCCTAGAGCCGCACCGCCCGCTCTTCATCGAGGAACCCCTGCTATCGGAGCACCTAGGCGGCATCAAGGAGATCAGCCACCTCACCTCGATCCCCATCGCCCTCGGCGAGCGCCTGCACAGCCGCTGGGACGTCAAGCCGTTCCTCGAGGCCGGGTGTGTGGATATTCTGCAGCCTGACATCTCTCACGTCGGTGGGATTTCCGAGATGCGGAGGATCGCGGCCATGGCGGAGGCATATGATGTTGCGCTGGCGCCGCATTGTCCGCTGGGGCCGATTGCGTTGGCTGCGAATGCGCAGGTTGATTTTGCGTCGCCGAATTTTGTAATTCAGGAGATGAGTTTAGGGATTCATTACAATAGCACGGGTCAGGACCTGACGAGCTACACTCATAACCCGGAGGTGTGGAAGGTTACGGATGGCTACATTGATCTTCTTACTGGGCCTGGCTTGGGTATTGAGATTGACGAGGCGCAAGTTCGTGAGCTCTCCAAGGATGCGAAGGCTTGGGTCAGTCCTGGATTCATTGGGCCTGGTGGAGAGATCAGAGAGTGGTAGACAATCACGTAGAACAAATCTAGTGATCCAACTGTCCAAAGTGCTTCTCCCAGATTCATTATTCTCATCAAGGCAAGGCACTGGTCTGCAAACCTTTTTGAGGCAATGGGGTTCGAAATGTGATTTATCATGGGCAGTCACTGATAATACGTAGCATCTCAGGGTGCTTTTTGTAGTCCCTCTTGCTTGACAACCCACCCGGCTCCCTTAGGGAAGCCAGGCGCGTCGCCCTCTGACCCTTGCCCGCCAGCAGCCATATATGCGACTAGGAATTGTCAGTTTTTTAGGTTACTTAAGGCAAATGTTAGGATCACGACTTACCTGCATATAGGAACCCAGCGTTTCCGGGCATGAAAGGGGGAGGCGTGCCGCCTATGTCAATAATAAGCAACGATACGGGTGTCGAAGAGGGGATCGCTTACCATCTCCACCGCGGATAGCATAGCCAGCATCATCAAACTTCCAGTAATCATACGCCGTCAAGTGGTAAATAGCCCTCTCCGGGTTTCCAATTCTTGCCGAGTTGATAGCCAGCACCGGCCGTCCCCAGCCGCGGATCTTCTGGTCCGTCCACACCTCCCACACCTTGTCCGCGGTCTTCAGCGCGACGTCAGGGTCGACTGCAGGGGTGTCTGGTAGTATCCCCTGCATCATGATAAGACTACGCGGGTCCCCGTTGAGAGCTGGGTCTTGCCACCATGTGCTGCTCAAACCCTCGTACACCGCGTACAGACCGTCTACTTGCGGCGGCGGAGCGAGGTTCTCGGCTACTTCTGTCCATTTTTCGGGGATTGGCTGGCCTAGTCTCTTCTTCCACTCGCGGGCGAGATCGAGTCCGTATCTCCAGTATGCGATCTAGGTGTATCGATGTAAGATAGGAGCTTTGGTGAATTAGCTGGTCGTAGCTTACCTCATAAGCCAAATTCAATGTCTGTGAAGGTGGCGTATTCTCAGTTACGCCGTATGAGCTGGGATGATTTCATGATCAGCCTTTAGTTCTCTTTTTCTCGTCTGCAAGAGATTCAAACTCACGGTGGACCCAAGTCATAGTGCCCTGAGCTTTCATTCCTCCATGCGTATGATGCCATATAGTCGGCAGTCGCCGTCAAGACTGCATCCCATTGCTTGAGGGTGTCGTCGCTCGGTGAAGACTGATACGCGAGTTCTGCGAGATACATAGGGTGAGGCTGTCTTGTGAGCAAAAGATACTTCCCTGAGAATTTGCGGTGCGTCAGGGAGTTAGAGAGTGTACCTGTTGCCATAGTAAAAGGCCGTTGATTCCGCCAGGAGAACTGACACCTGTTTCTAACTCCGTCATCTTGGGCCACCTACAAGCGCTGTCAGAAAGAAGGTCTATCAGTTCGAAAACCGAAGTGAGCCTACCTGGCACCCTCCCACCCTTGTGCTTTCGCTCTTGCGAGAGATGATGGAAGCAGTGTCTCATAAATTTCTGGGAATATGTTGTCGAAATACTTCTTCCGTCCCCAGGTCACCCAGTGGGCATTGTGCCAAATGACCATTTCCATGTGGAATTTACCTGCCTGAATCAGCTTCGGAATCATCTTCGAATGGGACACAGTTAAGTGTATATACGTACCGTACCACCCATTGTTCATCAGTCCACTCTCCTGAGGTGATTGGCCGGATGCTGCACTATTGACGCGGACATGATACTGCGACAGAATGATGCGTCTCTGCAACTCTGTAGCATTGGGGTTCGATGACAAGGTCAGGTCGACGAAACCGCCCTCGTTCCAGTAATCGTGCCATTCAGCGATACTTGCCTCTTGAACATCGACCGGAGGCCTGGGATCCTGCTTCTGGGGTGAAAAGTCCGCGGTGAATGTCAATGAAGTTGAAGTTTGATTTCTGCCACCAACAGGAGAAAGCGTGTATCGATGAGCGTTGATCTTAACAGAGCCCTCTGTTTCATCCCGGGAGAGGTTGAGAGGCGCTTCGTGAGGCCAGCGCAAGTTGATAAAGTAGCTCGTCTCCTGCAACTCGTGGTGAATGTGCGCCAGGTCGGATCGCCCGCAACTATTGACGATTCGAGTCGTATGGTTCAACGGGAAATCGTACACGCCGGCAAAGACTTCGTACTTGTACTTTGTCGTGTGAATCGGCGGGTACGGGAAGTCGAGCTCGATGTTCAAGTCGCCAGAGGACACGAGGTCCGATTCGATCTTGAATGTAACGGCATCGGTTGCGAAGTCGCCCTGTGTGATCACCTTGACGGTATTACCGTCGACTCTGAAAGTCGAGGTGATGATGCCGCTCCACAGATCTAGCTCTTGTCTTGGCTCTGCGATAGCTGCTGCAGATAGTGTTTCTCCCTTGTATTTCAAACCGATCCGGCCCAGATTGATTCGATTAGGGTTCCCAATAAGCCATTGCGAGACTTGCGGGAGCTTGGAGTCAGGAATATCATAGGAAACGTTTCGGCCGTGGGTCAGCATGGGAACGCCGGTGTAATCGCTTAGCTTCTCGCTGTGGGTGCAGTCTTAGTATTTTATTCTAGTCACGATCTCTAAGGAATGGCAAACCCATTAGTTGGAAGCGAATCATTGTGCCAAGCCCAGCTTGAAAGTGTGTTAAAGGGCAAGAATGTCTATCAGAATTTGCAGGTTCAGCTTGAATGCCTTGGAGTACACATGGCTTGTGGTTGCAATTGATACTCACCTGCATGCCCGTGTTATCAACATTGAAGGCAAAGTTGCCATTGCCGACTTGTAATGGCGTAGTATTGTTATCAATCAAACTCGTGCGCACAACATTGAATTGCGACACAACCCGCTGTCTAAGTTAGATAGGTCAGTTGAAGGGTGGTCTGACAATTAATCAGCAAAGATGGACAAACCGGTCGATGCTTCCCAACGCGACCACCGGTAGTAAGGTGGTGCACAAAAGTGTCAAAATCATCTTGCTCACTTCGATCCAAAGCATTTGACGTGCAAGTTTGGGGCCCACAAGACTTTCAAGCAAGCATTTAGAGTATCTAGAAAACATGGCAAAAGCGACATTTTGTAGCAATTTACCCGGAAGAATTACCAGCCTGGATTCCTCCACACGGAGGACAATCCGGGCCAACCGGGGTGCTTAAGCTGCATGTTCTTCCGCTCAATCCCATGGTTCTGGTAAGTGACGTCGGCGCGCGTGCTTGCGCGATCAATTAGCCCGAGTTCGTTTAAAATGATCAATTGAAAAAGGAAGTTGAAATTCAGTGATGTGCAGAGCGCTTTGAGGACATCCGGAGGTGATCTGCGTAGGAGTGCGGAGGAACCACCCTGCTTTTATCCCAAGCTGTGTAGCTTAATGTAACTAACTCACCGAGCGGGTTTGCGGGGAGGCCTGTCACCGTTTTGTTCCTTAAAATCTGGGGATCTTCGTCAGGATCCCGAGTCGTATTGTCATTATTGCATGAATCAGGGCTCACCTAGGCACAATAAACCCTCAAGCTGTTATCTTCAAATTGATGTGACAAGGGAATTCTCTTGGTGAAATGAATCGCCAATCTTTCAAAAAATATTGCGACCTCTTAGTCCTCCAACCTTATTACCGTCACCTCATTACTTACACACACATGACTTGCTAGGGACTCTCCATGAATATGAGTCTATCGAGGTGGTGGGCCTTCTGAATCTCACCGAAGCTCGCATACAGATTGAGGGGAGAGAATAAAAACGAGGTAGAGATTCGTGTAAACATGAACCAATGTGATTTGCAGCGTGTAACTATTGTTGAAGCATTCATGTTGCCTCTCGCTAGCGTACCTATCCAATTCAGATGCGCGTGGTATAACGACATGCAGCATGCTCTAAATTTCACAACACTCACGTAAAATGTTCCAAGGATCTGTGTAGAACACCTAGAGAAGTGCTACAAGCTCTTTTCCTGTTGTTCGGAAGCCAATTCGCATCAGGGGGATAACAGAGTAGGCTTTGTAGTGCATGCGCGTTTGAGGAACCAACATGAGTTTCAAGCGGATCTATGTTGGGAAGTGACTTCGCCAACCATGACCACAAGTTCACAACCGCTATTCCCAAATAGTGTTTAGAACTGGAGATTTCGCTCTTTTCCCCCTTCTCAAATCTCATGTATTTACTACAATGTTTGCGGCACTGCCTATCACGGACAATAGCTCTAAGAAGCTTACTCAAAGCGCGTGATCTTTGCTCATACCCGTACATCGATGGAAGCACCCTGTAAGGTTTGGTTACAGCTTCCGATCACATGCATTGGGATCAAATGTCATGAGAGAGAGTCGCATCCTCCATTGGCTTCAGTGCCGCCCAGAAAATGAACGTCTACTGGAGGATGATGCCGAGTTCATTGAGCTCACGAAAATCGCCGCTGGTCCGACGAGGAGACCATGATCATCTGGTGGTTCCTGGACCAGGATGGAAGCTTCTTACTAGACCTTGATCCCAACCCCTGGCATGTGCAAATGCAGCTAGCTTCAGCCACTAATCTGGGGATCTGGTGGAACTCGTGGAGAATTGCAGTTGAACCTCGGCACTCGGGCTCAGTTGCCGATCTCCCGACGTCAACCGACGGTCTTAGCGCAGCTTTCACCTGCTCAGGAGAAGCTCTCTGGACAAGGAACATTGTCCGTAGCATCTGAAATCCCATCCGCCCGGGCTCAAGCAACGTCCTATTGAAAGCCATCGAATGCCGTAAAAAGACTGTCATCTCATCTCTCGAAGCCAGCATTCCTCAGAATCAACCCCCAGCTCCTCATCGGAAATGGTTACCGTTGCTAAGAACGCGCCACGTGGCGCAACCAGCGCGCCGCGACAGTCGCTGACCATTGTCGACAACCGCACTGGAAAGTCTTACGAGCTGCCTATTACCAGAAACTCCGTGCTGGCTACGGACATCAAGAAGATCAAGGCCGCTCGCGGCGATGACCGCGCGGAGGATGAGACCGACCAGGGTCTCAGAGTCTACGACCCGGCCTACATGAACACCGCCGTGGTCCAGAGCAACATCACCTACATCAACGGTCTCGAGGGCATTCTCCGGTACCGCGGCTACCCCATTCAGCAGCTCGTCAACAAGTCGCATTTCTTGGAGTCGGCGTTCCTTCTCATTTACGGCGAGCTGCCGACAACGTCTCAGTACAACAAGTGGCAAGATGAGATTATGCACCACACCTACATTCACAGCGACATCGAGGGCATGTTCAAGTCGTTCCGTTACGACACGCATCCCATGGCCATGTTGCAAGCGTCCTTCTCATCAATGGGTGCCTTCGCGCCCGAATCGAACCCGAGTTTGCAGGGCCAGAAGCTGTACACCAACGCGGCTTCAGGCGACCTCGAGGCCCTTAAGATGCTGGATAAGCAGATCCTCCGCATCATCGGAAAGGCGCCCACGGTAGCCGCCGCCTCGTACCGCATGCGTCAGGGCAGGCCCTTCAACCGCCCAGCCCAGGGACTCAGCTACACCGGCAACTTCCTCTACCTGCTCGACCACCTGAGCGGGCACGAGTACCAGCCTCATCCCGTCCTGGAGCGCGCCCTCGACGCGCTCTTTATCATCCACGCCGACCACGAGGTCAACTGCTCTACCGCCACCGTCCTGCAGGTCGGCTCAAGTCTCGTCGACCCCTACAGCGTCGTCTCCGCTGGTTGCGCCGCGCTCTATGGCCCTAGCCACGGCGGCGCCAGCGAGAGCGCAATTCGCATGCTGATGGAGATTGGCAGCCCCGAGAATGTTCCCGCTTTCATGCAAAAGGTCGAGAAGCGCGAGCGCGTGCTCGTCGGCTTCGGCCACCGCGTCTACAAGAACGTTGACCCCCGTTCAACTGCCATCCGCCAGCTGGCCGAAGAGGTATTTGCTGTTACGGGCCGCAACCAGCTCCTCGACACGGCGCTGGAGCTTGCGAAATATGCCCGCGAGAGCGAGTTCATGAAGAAGCGCAACCTGTACCCCAACGTTGACTTTTACTCTGGCCTCATCTACCAGGCCATGGGCTTCCCGCTCGACTTCTACCCAGTCCTGTTCGCCGTCCCCCGCTGCGTTGGGTGGTTGGCGCACTGGAGGCAGCAGATGCTCCAAAAGGGCGGCGTCAAGATCTGGCGCCCGCGTCAGTTGTACATTGGCGAGGGGGAGCGGGAGTACGTTGACGCGGACAAGAGGCAGGAGAAGAAGAGCAAGACTGTGTTTGACGAGCCTGTTCAGGTCAGCCACGGTGGCGACAGCAAGAGAAATGAGCTTGCTACGTTCAAGGACGAGATGGGACATGCTTGGAGGGGTCGTTCGAAGCTTTGAGACCTGTACGTTTTCTTTTACATGGGTTCGGAGGCGTACGGATTAAGGATCTTCAGACTAGGTTTAGGATTGAAGCCAAACATGTTCGATTAAGAAGACTGTCACAATACGATCACATCTCTAATGACTTATGTATTGCCTTATCAGATCATTCCAGCCTGTTGGGCCGCCTTCCTGAGCCCATCCTCGATCTCCTTGTCGCTCATCGTTTTCAGCCCGACCTTGTCGTTCCAACTCATCTCTTGGAAACTTTCGCTACCTCCGTAACCCTTCCCATACATCATCTGATAGTAAAAGTCAATCCAGACCGACCTGTCACCCTCGGCGAACTTGACTTTGGCATTCTGATAGACCTCTTCAACATCGAAATTCTGCACCTCAAACTTCTGACCCGTCACCTTCTCTGCCATCTCCGTCAACTGTTTCTCACTGACCGCTGCTGAGTGAATATACAAAGACTTATTCTCAGCCTCCTTGTACAGTCCCTTCTCATCACGCAAGACCTTGGCAATCGTCTCGGCGACATCCGAAATCTTTGTGCTCCCAATCAAGTTGTCGCCGCCATTGTGATACTTTGCCGTCTTGCTCCGGAAATTCGGACCAAGCCCACCAAAGCCAAGAACGAGCTCGAAAAAGGGCCCGTTGTTGACACTCACCCAGCTCGACTTATTGCCGTTCTCGGCAATCTTCTCAATGAGGTAGCGTCTGGTGCGAACTTTGTCGACAACGATGGGCAGACCCTCAGCGAGCGGCGAGTCTACGTTGGTGCTGTACTCGGAAGGGATGATGCGCTTCACCCCGGCAGCGACAGCAGCGTCGATCCACGGCTTCTGGTTTTCTAGAACGATTGGGTCCGGCGCAGCTGAGATGACCGCGTCCTGGCCTTGAAAGGCTGTAGTGAGAGCGTTGACGTCATTCAGGTCAAGTTTGATGGACTTGACTCCCGAGGGAACGGTCTTGGTGGAATCAGAGCGTTGAATGGCAGTGATATTGAATCCGGAGTCAAGCAAGGTCTTGGCTATCTGAGAGCCCATCTGGCCCGTCGCCTGAGGTCTGGAGCTTTAGCATTCGATCATGAATCCACCATTATAAGGGAGGTTCCCATGACAAGTAAAAGTCGGACTTACGCCGATGATGGCAACATTGCGGATTGGAGAAGACATTGCCTGTGAGTCGACTGGAA